TGCCAAATGGCCACCGGGGCCGGTCTTTAGGGCACACTGATGGAGGCTATCGGTCGTCCAGGTCACGATGCCGACCTCGCCAACAGTTTAGGGTCGAAAAAATGGCCGACGACTCATAAAAACCGTGCCCAAGAAGGGCGCTTTCACACACGTTCGTCCCGTGCAGCGTGAGCGAGATAAAGCCGCCGAGATGTGTAAATGCCAGAATCCCTCACCTAGCAGGTAATTGAATTGTTATAATGTCTTTACTAGAGCGTAAGTGCCGCTCTGTGGAGTCATGTCTTAATAATGTTGCATACATCACGTGGAATGCATAGCATGAACGTGCCATAAATGTTAGGGGACCGTAAAATGATAATGATGCTTTGCCGCACCTAGCCTACCCTGACGTGCCCAATGATCATTTTATGAGCAGTTTGGATTTGGTTGCGCACCACGCAGCTATAGCAGAACTATGTATAATAACCCACGGACGCCATCGGCGCCTCGCACATTTTACGCACTGCAAGGCTGAGAGCACATAGCGAAACCGAGTGCGTGAAAGTGATGTAGAAAGGCTGCTAGACCGAACCGAGCATTAAAGGGACCCTCCCACCTTCAAAAAAGTTAATGGATTGGCACGAAAGTGATGTCGCTCGGTTCAGAAAGAGCGAAAACGAATATCTACCAAATTTCATCGAAAAATATTCACCGGTTTTCAAGATATTAGACTTTTACTTTTGTTTACTTTTTGGGATCTCCGCTGTTCCTAGCGACTTTATTTGAAAGTGCGGCATTTGTTGCGCGCAAAGCAGCATATACCACCGCGTGCTACCAAACGTTTTAGTAAAAGATTTAAAAATCGTTAGATCTCCGCTGACGTCACAAATTCTAAGGGGGCATACCAATGCACTAGCCCCTTAGAATCCGAAAACTGCAAGTTTGAAATTCCATATCTCCGATTTAAAGCATTTGTCGATGTTGTGAGTGCCCAAACCGGTATTTGCAGGCCATGGCCACCAATTTGGCTATCTCAACTCAAAACTAATGTTAAGGTGGGAGTGTCCCTTTAAGCTTCGAGTGTTCTTCACCTGATCACCCGTAAGAAACAAATACAGCATCGCATTTGCAACGGATGAAAAACGAAGGCAGCAGACATAGACGGACAGATACCTAATCATCACACAGGCAAAAAAAAAGAGAGTGAGGGAGTGAGAAAAATCAACAGCATGGCAATTGATGAATGTAGAATGAATGGGAACTAAAAGAGTGGTAAATGTGGCAACGAGGCTAAGTTACATAAAAAAACTTCACGGTAAACAGCATGTGTTATGCTCGTGTCCGGACAAAATTTCGTCTGACATTTTTTCGTCGGACAGTTTTTCGTCCGCAGATTTTCGTCCGACTTTTTTTCGTCTCGCATTTCTTCGTCTGTACATTTTTTCGTCTGTGCATTTTTTCGTCTGTACATTTTTTCGTCTGTACATTTTTTCGTCCGGACATTTTTTCGTTCGTATATTTTTTCGTCTGTACATATTTTCGTCCGGACATTTTTTCGTTCAATAAATTTTACGTCTGTTCACCCAAGGTTGAGTGAAAACAAACTACAATGCTATTCAACTGTGGAGGCAAATGACGTCATAATAATACTCGGGGCGAAGCAGTGCAGTGCCGAAGGCAATGCCTTAGGAGAGATTACAGGCAATGGTAAGTCAAATATTTTTAGGTTAAGTGGTTGTGTATCTGGCTTCAGGCCGAAGGCCTGAAGCCTGATGCATAACCACTTAACCTAAAAATATTTGACTTACCATTGCTTGCAATCTATTCATGCAAGTAACTTTTTCCTTATCCCCCGGTAGGCAAACATCAGTAGGTAAGGTTAGGTAAGGTTAGGTTAGGTTAGGTTAGGTTAGGTTAGGTTAGGTTAGGTTAGGTTAGGTTACGTTACGTTAAAATTGTAGACGAAAAAATGTCCGGACGAAAAACCGCACAGACGAAAAAATATACGAACGAAAAAATTTCCGGACGAAAAAATGTACAGACGAAAAAATGTACAGACGAAAAAATGCACAGACGAAAAAATGTGAAAAAATGTACAGACGAAAAAATGCGAGACGAAAAAAAGTCGGACGAAAATCTGCGGACGAAAAATTGTCCGACGAAAATCTGCTGGACGAAAAACCGTCATGGAATCGTTATGCTTCGTAGCTCCAGTTCCAAAAGATGAACAAAAAGGAGATTAAAAATGAGTAGAAAATGACATATTCAGCAACCAGCAGCCACTAAAAAACGACCACGGCCGCTACTTGCCTCATATCCTGTTCTTTCTGGGGCCAATGGATCATTCACGTTCACGTTCACGTGACTAGTTAATTTTCCAGTCGCTTGCGTCGCTCATCAGCCAAGAGACACACGATGCCAGATCAGTGGCATCGCTGGCGGACAGTCGCTAGCCGGTGAATATTTATCACCGGCTGACCGGTCACCCTCGCCGGCGGCCGGTCGGAGGGGCGCGGCGCCGCGGCGCGGGAGTCAGATCACCGTCCGATTGTCCGGCTGGCCGCTCCGCTTTAACAGCTCACTAACTGCAACTGGCCGGCAATTTGGTGGTCGCTATGGGCGATTGTCGGTGATGGACAATGTCGTGGGAGCGGGCCGGCGGCGTATCAGCCTTGATCCGCATGGTCTGGCCGACTGATGGGGATCGGAGTCCACCGTTCGAGTTACCGCCCGGCCGGCCGTGCAGCGACAGATGCAGGTCGACGTTAAATAGACGCGGCATAACCTTAGACATTACCCAGTGCAGCACAGAGGGTCACCGCCACTCTGATCCCAGATGGCCAGCCGAGGGGTTTAGTGTCCACTCGCGTGAAATTAGCTCTTGCAGGAATGGCGCGCAAAGGCTTAGCGAAGGCATGCGCTGGCCGCGTTTTTATTCCATAATAGAAGAGTACGTTTTCCGCAATTCTCAGCACTTATAGTGGTTTGGGATGTGAATGTACCTATATTAAACATGTAATTACATATACATATGCATACATTACATATAATTATAATAGTATACAGTGAACAAGATAGGGGTAAAAGACAAAGCGTCGTTGGCTAAACTGAGGATACGAATGGAAAACGAAGTCCTGCCCACTCAACGTCATTTTCGTCAAATCACTCCAAAGTCCAAGCTTTTTCAATTCAAAGCACATGAAAAACCTGCAACCCACATCCCACGATATTACCATTTAGGCATTGCATTTTCGTCGCCAACAAATAAACTCTGGCTGTGCAGCACTCTAAAAAATAGACGACAATCTAGCGGAGGCAGCTGTACAACAGATCAACAATCAATATATATTACTGACCGGGCCGACGAAATTATTTGGAAACGAGGTTTGCAAAATTGACGTAGGCCCGAGTGCGAAGCACGAGGGCCGGAGTCAAATTTTGCAAACAGAGTTTCCAAATAATTTCGTACGGCTGAGGTCAGAGGTCAGTAAGATTTTTCCTACATGCCGCATACCTGCTAAGTAGTTTCGACAGGTTTTGGTGACACTTTTATACAATTGTTTTGTCCATAATTTCCTAACAGTGATTGCGCTACTGCTGTGGATAAAGCTTTAAAGGAAATTGATAGAAGAAAATGCATCAAAACACCTACTTCAAAAAGAATCGTGTCTGAAAATATCAACTCAGAATAGCACAACAACTGGATATCCAAGGAACATAATAGGTACATGAATAATTTGTCACGACATAAGAACAAGAAGAAGGCATAATATTCCTAGTGATTAACGTGAATTTTCCAGTGTTCTTGCAAGAATATTTTCTTTATTTATGTAGTCGTACTTTGTTGATGCCCTATGGCTAAACTTTCGTGAAATACATTATATTTTCCATATTTTACATGTTTGCTTCGAGGAAAGGACTACAACTGTCAAATAATAACGAAATAACTTAGGCCCAAGGTATCAGTGAACATATCAAACGAAGATAAGACAACAAGCGATAACGGATTTCGATTACCTAGGCGCACATCTTACCATCATTTCGGCTTTGTAACCAATACAAATATTTCAAAACCCTTGATAAGCAGAGCAGATATTTTTTACCAAAAAATGTTAGTTTTCTAATTGTACGCGGCAAATATCATGCAATAATGATGTCAAATATACATTCCCTGTCAATCCTCTGGGCTAATGCGATAAACTGTAGTTTAGAGGTCATTGCCCTGGGCAGTAAACTCGGGCAGTAAACTTTTGTTTCTTGCCCGGCCTATCAAATAACATGGCATTTTGACACCGACAGTTTCTTGGTCATAGTTTTACTGCCCGGCTCGTGCTGTGCTTAAGACATACCCCGGCATGTAGGAAATGACAGGGGCGCCCAATTAGAGCTAAGTCAAAACATTATTCGATTCCAAGACTGCGAGAAACAGCTGCACCCAGTCTTTGACCTTTGCACTTTCGGTGAAGGATCTTCCACCGAATGAAGCAGAGGTGATACCAGTCGGCGCCTGCAGTGACCGACCCTTCCGTCAAATTGATGCTTACTCTGGTCGAAAGCCAAGAAGCCACATCGAAACCCCCATGGAGGACAATATGGTATATTGCAGTTTTATAAAAGTGTCATCGCTGTCATGCATGCCTTTATCTGGCTTTTGTTTTTGGGTAGGCATACGACGACGCAACTGCATGAAATGGCTATGTGCTAAGAGATTAAGCTCTGGTTAGTGTTTCCTTTGAAATTAAAGACCGAACTGTTAAAAGCATTCGAGAAATAGGTTTAAAAGTTGATTCTACGCTCGTAGCATGTAGTTAGGTATCGACTGCTATTCCAGTCTTGCTTTACAGCGCTTTACAATTGTTTTTTGATTTTTCGGTATGACAACAATTCAAGTGTTAGACCAAAAGGCCAAAAGCATTCGTTTGAACAGCATCCTCCAACAAACATCATCTCAATGTCAGCACTGTGACTAATTCATGCACTAATCCGAAAACCGAAGCCAAACATTCCTCGGGAGCACTCACCGAGTTGTTGTAGAGATCCATTGTGGCGTGCGAAGCTCGCGTGAGAAACTTCCACGGATGAGGTCACAGCAGCCCGATCGGTGACGACTGCAGGAGAGGAACGGAACGCAGTCATAAACAGATCGTACCGGGTTCACCCGCGGTCGAGGGCCGGCCTCTTGCTTGTCATGGCGCTACACAGTCGCATCCATGTCGTGGAGGGGCAGGGTGAGCGACAATAACTCCCCAATGACCCCAGGGTATCCCGTCCCACCTCTGACATCAACACCTGTGAACCGCACATGCTATGACGTATGCATAAGAAAACCGCAGGGAGGGAGGGACGGAAGGAGTGAGGGAGAGAGAGAGAGAGAGAGAGAGAGAGAGAGAGAGAGAGAGAGAGGGAGAGAGAGAGAGAGAGAGAGAGAGAGAGAGAGAGAGAGAGAGAGAGAGAGAGAGAGAGAGAGAGAGAGAGAGAAAGAGAAAGAGAAAGATTGAGGGGGAGAGAAAGACTGGCAAGCGATTAAAAAAAAAAAACATTTGGGGTTTCGTCCAATCACTTTGCATATCGGCTTGATGGGCACAACTTTGTCATGGTAAAGATCGATTCAATTTTTGGAAAGCGAGAACAATGCACCGGACGGTAATTTCGTCAGAAATGCATAAAATAGCTAACTTCCACATCCGTATTATGGTTCCAAAAATAGAGCAAAGTAAACAAAAGGTCGCCGAAATATAAGCATGGGTGATTGGCGACCCATCAGACGATAGTCTGCCTCCTTGACGAAAGTCGATTAATCGATTTGCACTAAATATCTCACGATGACCTGTTAACCGATCATCAAAACAGATCCAAGTGGCGTGATGCGACGTGGGGGAGCGATGAACGTTTATTTACAGCAACATTCACGGACACCTACGTCATCACAGAACATCAGTAATCTGAGTCGGACAGAGACCCTTCATCTTTTTCCACGGAATATTGCATGTAACATAAGTGTGCATCAATGGGAGCTATGCGTGTCGCTCCCATTGATTTTTCAATTGGACATGTAGGTATAGTGTTTTTAAGTGAATTTAAGAGAAACACTGATAGAGAATCGCCGTAATATAAAAGCGTTCCTTTCAGTTTTAGAGTTTTTTGAAAAGTAGAAAAGATTAAAGGATGAAATTATAGGTGCTAATAGGTGTTAGTGTGAATAGGCAATCACGAAAAAAGGAACAAAATTCAAAAAAAAAACATTCCTTTAATTGTCAGCGGGTTTGAATGACGCGTCACGTCTGATCAAGGATTATAAATCTTATGTGCTTCGCATTGCACGTTGTTGCGCTGACTGTTTTTATTTCGAAGTTACGTGCTATAAATTAGCCACTTGACAACCACATGCACTAAAGCTTGTAAGCTTGTAGTAGTCGTATGTTTTGCTAGTAACAGTTCCACTCAGCTTGTCATTGGGAAAGGGTTGCAGCTGGCACATATATCTGTGAGTAATTTATCGATGGGTCTTCACTTGGTCATAACAAACGTGAGGTTACTTATAAATTATTATGAGGTTATTATGAGGTTATTATGAGGTTACTTATTTACTTCTAACCTTGCCTAGTGAAGTTTACAGTGAAATCAATGCTTTCGTGTGTAAAAATTAAGTTAAAAAAACAATTGTCAATAAAAACATAAATACAGATCGTTCATGACGTTTAGAGTAGATAGAACATGCAGGAATGAAAACCTTTGACCGATTGTCTTTCCCTGTCCTCAAATTTGCTTCAGTTTTCTTTCTTCAAGCTATCACTTGTCTGTTTGTTAGAATGTATCGGTCCACCAAAGCCCAGCGTGACCCTCAGTTTCAGCTTTCGACATAAATGTCATAACTTCCTGTCACAGCACGTGTAAATTCGCAGCCCCAGCGTTTATGTTCGGAACACGCATTCTCGGGTAAACACCACGGCTCAGTTAACTAATGTATTATCCATGCACATCGGCTCATTACACGCTAATACACTGACCGCCCATCAGGCCGGACCAACTGTCCGCCAGCGCTCCCCTGGGCGAGCCAACCGCTCAGCCCCGAGCTCCACCCGCCGAGCGCACCCTTGAGCGCACCGCTCAGCGTCTGCCGCCGCCGGCGATGCACCGCCTTATATAGGGGGGCTGGGCACCCGCCGACCAATCAGCGGCCGCCACGTCACCCACGTCACCAGCCGGCCGGGACTGCAGGTTGCAGCGCCGGCGCACGCTGCCGGCGGCCGATACGAACGGCCGCCGCTCCCCAACACACACCCCCCCTACACAAGAGAGGTGTACGACCGCTCACATTTCTCAAGTATGTACAAAAACTTAAAACAACAAAGACCACAATGCACCAAAACGACATAAACCGCGCACACACACTTAAAGTAAACTTAACAATACGTTCTCGAGCGCTCGACAAATCGACACGTATGCGCCGCCTCCCTCAACAATCGGGTCCACCGCACGCTCCGGTGCGTGCGATCCACACAGCTCACGAGCCCCCCGCCTCATACTGTCCAGGGGGGCGGCAGAGCCGCCCGTGCCGCACTCGGTACGGCGCGGGCGGGCCGAGGGCGGCGAGAGGCGTCTCGGGTCCCGCACCGCGATCCGGGTGATGCCGCGCGCACCACACGGCAGCCACCTCTCGTGGCAAACAGCACATTCGTTCACCATACGGTGTCAGGTGGTCGTGGTGCCCCATCTTGGCTTTACCGGCGCCGTCCCGCACTCGGTAGGTGGCTCCTCTTCCTTCTCTTCTTCCGTGGCCCCACGGGCACTTGTGCCGTAGGCCGAACTTTGACTGCCCTCCAGTTGCCGCTCGGAAGTCGCGCTCGTTACCGGCTTTGCGCTCGAAGGGGCGTGTGACCGGCTCGGTCTGCACCGGGGCCCTTGGAGGTGGGGTGGGCCTTTTCCGCCTCCCCGCTCGATCACTCTTACCTCCAAAGTCCAGGGCCCTGCCCCACTTTCCCAGCACCGAGGTGTTGCAAGGCGTCTGATGGCTGAGACGCTGTCGGACGTGATTGTTCGGTGGGATTTCTTCTTGCGCCTTCTGCTTGCCGCTCCACTCCACCGGACTAGCGTCCCCTGCGTCGCCGTCGACGCCCGGACGGCTGATGGCGCGTGCTTCCCTGCCCGCCACCTCGCCAGCCGAGTTGACCTCGCCGCTGGTCTGGGCGGTCTGTCGGTCAGGTTGACCTGCGTTGCCGATGCTGGGCGACCCGCCCTCGCTTTGACTCACGCTCTCAGCCTCTGACCCATTCGAGGTCACCGTGACCTCACCGTGACCACCGTGACCGCTGCTGAGCTGCCCGCCCCCGCATTGGCTCGTCCCGGACCCGTCGCGCTCGACCGGGTCCCCGCATGGGGCCACTGGGGCTGGCCAGTGTCGCCACTTGTCGAACCCTGCTGACTTGAAGACGGCCCGAGCGGTGCAAGTCACCAGGGCCACTGCCCGCGCGCAAGCCTGTGAGCAGCGCCTCACCAAACCGGAGTTCGCGGTCCCCGGCTGCTCGTGATGCCCGCTTCCATCGAGCGGGGGTTGGGTTGTTGGCGGAGCCTCGCTGCCCGCCGGCTCTGACCTTACCGTGCACACGAACGACGGTGTGGTTCCCGGGGGCTGGCGTGACATGACCTCGGCGTCCCCGCGGGCGTGACCGCAGATGTGGGGGCACCCTTCCCACTGTCGTGTGGTGCTACTACCCCCCGTGTGTGTGGGCTGCCCCGCGGTGGGTGGACCGTAGAGTGCAGGTGGGTCAGCCACCCTCCGCTGCCACTCACGGCCGCACTCCGCTGCCGGTGTGTCCCCCCGCTGCCAGTGACCCGCGTGCGCTGTGGGGCCCCCCATTGTCGGGCTGGCAGGCATGCCCACGGCCGCAGTCGCCGGGGCAGGCGGGCGTCCCGCCCATCGCTGACCCCCACGGCTGCACCCGCGACAGAAAGGCGTCCATCCGCCGGCCTCCTCAGACGGACCACGGGGGCACTCCGCCCACTCCAGGCCCGCCTGCTGATGACCGCGTGGGAAGGACCACCCCGCCTGCTCATTAGCATGTGCTTGCCGCGCTGGACAGTCGCGGACCAGGTGGTCATGGCTATTACAACGAAAACAACGGCGCCCAGTACCCCGCCTGTTTGGGTTCGGTGGCCCTCGTTGGGAGTTCCTCGCCCCTGTCCCGTGCCCCGTGCGGTAGGCGTCCCGCCTTCCCGCCGTCTCAAGGGCTTGCAGAGCGCGCTGCAGCTCTTCAATTAGCCTCTCCAGCGCGTCCAGCCGCGCAGTGCCGGGCGCGCCTCGGTCTTGCACCGCCAACGCCTCGCCCTCGCTGGGCGGGCGCATTGCTCGGAGTGCGTCCTGCTGCCGTTCGAATTTATCGGCGACCTTCACGGCTTCGATGAGGCTGGCCGGCTCCTTCGTCAGCACCCGCACCCGCAGCTGCTCCTCACGGAGGCCGCATACGAAGCGGCTGACGACGGTCGCTTCCACGGACGGGTCGCCGGCTCTCGCCCCTGGGTATGCCTCCCGGCCTGCCTGGCGTACCCTGTCGGCGAAATCGCGTGTCGCCTCACCGGGCTGCTGCCGGATGTTTGCCAGCTCAGCGTGCGCCTGCATCGCACTTTTCGCTGTGCCGAAACGGGCCTCCAGTGCAGCCACAGTTTGCTTGAGGTTGCTCTGGGCCTCCTCCGACAGCGAGGCGAAATAGTCAAGGGCGCCATCTTGCAGCAGGCTGACCAGGCCCTGCAGCCGATTCTCTTCGGAGAACGCGATCGTCTTCGCCCGGAACCGTCGGTACCACTGACCCCATGATTGTCCATCTTTCCCCGTGAAATTTTCAAAGTTAGATAAAAGTAAAAGTTCTCTTTCCATGTTACGTTACTCTACTGAGCCGATTCAAAATAAAATAGAAATAAAAATTTACTTTAAATGGTGCAACCCAACGAATGCGTGCCCGCTAGTGTCCGAACCGTCCTACCGACCGCGCCAGTTGTTCGGAACACGCATTCTCGGGTAAACACCACGGCTCAGTTAACTAATGTATTATCCATGCACATCGGCTCATTACACGCTAATACACTGACCGCCCATCAGGCCGGACCAACTGTCCGCCAGCGCTCCCCTGGGCGAGCCAACCGCTCAGCCCCGAGCTCCACCGGAGTTCTATAGCCTTGGCTCCACCCGCCGAGCGCACCGACCCCCACCGGACACGATTTGGTAGCCGAGGTCTGTGACGTCAGCCGGGCGTGAAGTTTTCCCTTCACCATAGGCTTCACACACAAACTGGCCGAAGTTCATGCCAGGATAGCCCGGCTTGAAAGTGCAAAAATGATTAAATTTTGCCCTCAATAGATTCCTTGCTTCATTTTATAACTAAACACGTCCGTTATTTGGCCTCAATGAAGTTAAAAAGTACTCAAAATCGAAGTTCAAGAAGATGCTGTCCGAGCACAATCTGGTAACATCACGTGACCTCTTTTAAGCAGAATGTATATGATTCAAGGATGTTTTTACACGATTGCTGCCTAAAACATCATAAATAATACGCTTGTAACATTTATTGCTTCTGTTTAAGTCATAACATTGCAAAACGCAAAGTTTATCATGGCAGTCACGTGACCAAAGGTATAGCAGGGGTTGGGACAAGCACTCAAAGGATTTCAAGTTTTTTAATTAAATTATATAAATTTCATGATGAAATTGAAAGAATGTATTTTTTCCTAATGAAATACAAATTTTCGTATGTAAAATATTTTCCTTATGGGCGAAATTCTCCATATAAGAAATGTCAGTGACGTCACCAGGGCTTTACTCAAAACATCCGACCAACATCCGACCTACCTGTTTCTTATAGGTATCTTGGAGCGCACCGCTCAGCGTCTGCCGCCGCCGGCGATGCACCGCCTTATATAGGGGGGCTGGGCACCCGCCGACCAATCAGCGGCCGCCACGTCACCCACGTCACCAGCCGGCCGGGACTGCAGGTTGCAGCGCCGGCGCACGCTGCCGGCGGCCGATACGAACGGCCGCCGCTCCCCAACATTTACACGGCGATATCAACACCACCGTCCACTTTCATCGCACGCATCAATCGGCCGCTCTCGTCCCGGCCACCTCATTGCTACTCCGCTCCGCGTTCACACCGACCCCATCTGAGACGTCTGCGGCGCGGCTGCGGCCGATCCGGCGCTCACCACTCAGTCGAATACGACCTCCTCGGACCAGACCCGGCGCTGTTGTTCGATTCGACGGGCGGCCGCCGTCAGTAACGACAAGCCAGACGGCGGCGACGGCGGCGGCGGGTGCGGCATTTGCAGCGCGAACAGCGGCGTTTAGTTTACATTGGCGCAGAACTGTAGGTCCGGCGTTGCTCCTAGAATAGCCACCGGGCTGTGGCCACACTGGGTCTGAGGCGATGAGCCGTGAACGGGTCATGTCGCGCGCACAAAGACAGGCTTTTGTCCAACAACGTGCCGCGACGGTTCAGCCTCACCCGACAGTGGGGCGACGTGCTGCGCACGAGGGGGTTGCGGCTGGCTTGCAGAGGTGTGGGAACGAGGTCTCAGCACAGGGGGTGAGGGAGAGCCAGCCGGGTTTAGCCGGCTCGGCCGATCGACGCGCCGCCCTGGATGGATAAGCTCAGTGTAAGCTGGGATAATGCTGCTGTTTTCACCAATGGATGGGCCCACCCAGTGCTGAGGGGAGGGGGGGGGGGTAAACTCCCGGATTTGAGAGGCCCCGCCGTGGCACATTGTAGGGCAAGGACAACCGGGCGTTAGACCATCCAGTGCACGAGGGAATTACAGCATACCAAATCAATTGAATATGCAGCTAACTCTTACGGAGGATCCGTAATTTCCGGTAAGGTGATGCGCATTGAGCACTCATGAAGCCTGATTGACAGCGAAATGTCAAGAGCAGTAGCATTAAGAGCGATGTGTTCCATTGTAATTCGAGCCGTAAACCCTAATGTATTGCTGGTCCCTTCCCGCCCCCCGCCCCCCCCCCCCCAAAAAAAAAAACTAGAGGAGCAGCAGATGCGTGCAATATCTACGTTGAACGAATCGGTCTATAAACGTGGCGAGTATGCGTGCTACGTTGAACGGTGGCACGCATACCCGTTTTGTGTTATTGGCTGGTCAACGTTAATTGATAAAATAGACAAAAGAACTAAGAAGTGATATGCAGGATTTATTTCAATAAGGCATCGGTCCAGAATGGTTTATCTCCCCCTCTCCCCCCTCTCTCTCTCTCCCTTGCCCTCTCTCACTTTCCGCTCTTTCTACTCTTCCCTGCCCACCAACTCTTTTCCCACTTAAATTATATGTATATTCTATGATGTCTACCACGCCCTCCCATATTGCAGTCCTATCAGTCCACTGAATAGAGTCAATACTTAGCGCTGACCTTTATCCCACCTCGCCCGGCTCCGACTGTATTCCTTGTGAGAACGGAGCGGCATTATAGGCCGTCTCTCGCTGAATACTGAGGTTCAGGAACGAGTGCAGACCGTGACACGACCCACGGGGCGCAGCGAATATTAACCAGACCTGCCAATGCACCGGCTAAAAGCTACCGCGCCGCCGCGGGGCCTCTTTCCACATCAGTACAGATCAAGTCGTACAGTTTTCAGAGTAGGTTTCACCGCGATGGGCATACATGATGCCTGTGACTTCCAGGTACGGCGACTTAGCGATTGATCAGATCAGATCAAAGGATCAAACCAAAGCCTGAAAGGTTGTGGTAATCCGTCCATCTGCCATGGCAGTGTCATGAAGATATGAACGTTCATTTTATATTTAGTTTGTTTGGAGGCAGTAATGAGTAAACATGACAAGTTAGCTTAAATTGGCCGTGATGTAATCATGACAAGCAACGTTTGTTATTCCGTGCAACATTATAAGCACAAAAACATTTTTGCTCATACATACGCGCGTATAAGTTTACGCGTGTGCAAGGAATGCGAATCCACGCGCTGCGGGGTATTATGCTACATTGTTGATTAATTAAAACTAGACGGACCAGGTCACGAATCACGATACTATGTAGGGTTGATGGTCAATACAATCAACCAAGCTCAGCCATCACCAATGAATAAATCCAGACCGTGTCTATCGCGCAATTTGCTTCCAGACATCATGATCGACAGAGAGCGGCATTTGCCGTCAAACTTCAGACTCGGCGCGGGCACCGACTGGCTGAAGAGTTGCCGAGTGAAGCGGCTCTCATGCGCGACTCCCGACGGATCAGGTAACTTCCCGGGACTGGGGTCGCTCAGCGCGCCACTCAGGGACGGCTCGGCCCACACACGGGACGTGCCGAGGTGTTCCAGAGGTCTGCCAGAGCGACAGACAGTCTACCCGACAGCCGCCGACAAAATGGATTCACCGAAACCCTCTCTGTCGGCCGACTGGTGAGCGCTCAAGTTTCCACTTTGAAAACAGCAGCTAATGAGTTAAGAGCTACCGGTAAGAATTTTCATGAGCGTGTTGCAAATGTTTTCTCAAGAGAGGGAGCCGTGCTTTTTAAGTTGCACCTCAAAACGCCCGAACTTTCTGAGCGGTTTGGAACTGCTAACAACAGCCTCTGAACTGAAAACAAGTGCATTTACGGCAGCTGGGACGAGCCGCATTCGAGGCGTGGTCTTACCGAGTTCTCTGCGACCGTCTAAGCGAGCCAGTCCGATGGACCACTTCCCGAAACTCCAGCTGCAAACCGCCACCACACGGCAAAATTCCAACAAACACGTCCAGCATTTCGAGCCTGGTTAGGCAGTGGCGCGCTCGCGGAATGCCACATCAATTACTGGCGACGTTTGCAACTGTCAGCCGGTCAGCCGACCATGAACAGCGCCCCGGGCAGCGCCCGTGTCACACAGTCACGTGATTGTCACGTGACCGCCGGTCACATGGGGGCGGAGCGGGCCGCCAGAAAACAACCGACCGACCGGCGCCCGGCGCCTGGCGCCCGGTGCCAACTCCGCGGCGGCTAGACGCCTCAGTTGGAGCCAAGGTGGAATTCGGGTACAAATCAAGACGTAGAGACTGAACACGACGGCTGTGACGTCAGAGGTGGGTCGGACGAGACAGCGGCGCCGTCGGCGGTGTCGGCGACTGTTTTGGAACCTCTCACCGACCCGGCAGCGGGCCGGTGGATTTCAGCAGAGAAAACAAAACGTAACTCTCCGCCTGACACCGACGTCCGGGAAGGCAACTGGCGACCGTTCCTACTGCTCTGAAAGTTAACACCTCGTCTGTTTTTATTTACGACGAATGAACACGGCAGATGCATGGCACCAAAGGTATAACACTGGTTCAGCTTCCTTCAATATTGATAAAAATGCTGGCAGTTGAGAGCCCTGGCAACAGGACATACAATTAAATCGTTCGGGTCTTAAATGTTATTCACACTTGAATCCTTCAGGGAAAAGAATAAGGAGAACGTTGCAAGAAGTGTTGGGATAATACGCTGGATAGTGTCGCTGCTTGGGAGGTTTTGACTAGAGTTGCAAAGTTTCCCCCAAAGGCTGCTACCGGCACCGCCCCGCCCCACAAATTTTTTTTGGGGATACCGGCATGCTACCACGCCCAAAGCAAAAACACCACCAAATTACCGGCATACTAAAAAACCTGCATTGTTATTCCAGTTTACCCCTACAAGAGATGCCACATTTTCCTCTTAGTGTCCAAAGTTTGAATCATATGCTAATAATTTTTTTTTTTTGTGCAAAACCAAAAATACCGGCATGCTACCGGCAAGACATGCCAGATACCACAAAAAAACCTGCGGTAGTGAAAAATTACCGGCATGCCGGTAATGCGGTAGGGAAACTTTGCAACTCTAGTTTTGACATCTTCCTCACAATTCGACACACTAAGCACTTGCAACCACCTCGTCACACGTACTAAATCATCTTTGGATGTCGCCCGAAATTGAAACACGTTTCCTTGCCTTCTGGCTGGTAACGAGCATCATGGGACATTCGGCTGATTGAGGGGCCGACGGGCAGAGTGCAGGATAAATGGCATCCTGCGTCAGACGCCGGCTCTGCACCGCGAACCGTCCCCGGAAGTCGATAAATTACCTTTCATCTGCCAATAGTATGCGGGCGCCCTTGCGTCATGGGATGCAAATAAGGATATCTGCGGCGACTCGGTCCGCCAAAGGGTGCCTGCCGTGAGGCGCTAAGTGCCGTCCGTAATAGAGCGGTAATCAAGTGGTAATTGAGGGGTAGTCAAGTCATGATTTACACCATGGTCAATGTCATGGGGATGTTTGGAAATCCCGACAATGATACAGTGGCTTTTATTGCCTCTAATTGGATAACATTAGCAAATATGAACATCTCGAACATCTCGACGGACACAAATGAGAGGATATAGGCAGCTGCCTGCTATAAACTGTGGAATATTCAATAATACTTTCGCTGATTCCTGGATGCCACCTGAATAGCTCGAAGAATTTCATAACACACAAGCCATCTGAGGCTGCAGTAAATCTTCAAATAATAAGTGAAGCAATTTTGGCTGTCATGAACTGAATTATGACGTGATTTATCAATATGTTCAAGGTAGCGCTGGCCGTCGAACAAAAGCCGAGGGCTGCAGAATCGGAATAAATATTGTCTAAAATGCCTTCAAACAAAACACATCGGGATATTTACTCAAATGAGACCAAATCAAAGAAACAACAATCCCAGGACAGTAATCAATTTGCAGGAGAATTGGTCGGAGCCATAGGCTGGATTTCACTTGCCTTCATCGTGACCAAGAGATGCTTCGCGTTTTAGTGTGCATTAAAATAAAACGTCTATCGGCAGTTAAAATCTTACGTTCATAAATTCATCGACACGATCGCTCTAAAATGTCGGCCGAAGGTGTTGTGAAGTGCAGAACATTGTTAGCTCCACTCACGAAACGGCTTCAGGCTCGGGCGAGTGCCTTTCGAGGGCGTCGATGAAGTCATATTCGCTCGTAAATAGCGGCGTATTAACGATGGGCCGATAGTTTGAACGACTCACTTCACGGGGCGGAGAGGACCGTTAACAAAGCGGACCTGCCCTTGGGGCCGCGTGAACACGCTCAGGTTTGATCCCCCGACACTGCTCTATATTGCGTCACGCAGATGCGGTATACCATCACATACAGGGATGTGATACCTTCGTCATCACGCTTCTTCTACGTCATACAACGGTCGCTGTAGCTCATCAATCGGATTAAACATTGGAGAATGACAATAGAGAGAGACGAATAATAGGCACCACTACAAAA